GGGAGAAAGTTTTCGGCCTCATGATGAAATCTGTTTAGGAGAGCAGGGAGATTCCATGGTAGTTGCCACAATCTGACTGGTCTCCCTTGTTCTTATAAATATTGACGATGGAGGCATCTTTAAGAGCATGGGGGATTTCCTCCTTTTCCCATATATTCTCCAGGAGAGAGTGGAGACAGCTGGTAAGTAGAGGTCCTCCTGCTTTATACACCTCGGCTGGGATTCCTTCAGGGCCTAAGGCTTTGTTATTTTTCATCTGTTTGATGGCAGTAGCTACCTCATCCAGGGATGGAGGATAGCTGAAGTGGGTCAGCTCTGGATGTTGAGGGACCTGCTGGGTAATCAGGAAATCCACATCGGTGTTTTAGTTGAGCAATGAATGGTAGTGCTCTTTCCAGCGTTGAAGGAGGCCTTCAACGTCTTTAATTATGTGGTTACCATCAAATGAGCGGAGGGGGCTGCACCACGAGTGATATACCCATAAAATGTTTTAGTGGAAATGAAAAATTTGCACATCTTGTATTGATCTGCAAGTTTTTGTGTGTCACATGCTTTATTTTTAAACCAGTTGTTCTTTAGATTGCGAAGTTCCCGCTGGGCCGCCGCTTTCTTCTTGCGGAAGGTATCAGCTTTGGTCGGAGACTGACGGTTGTTCTGCCAGTCAGTAAAGGCAGCACGTTTATCATCGACGAGTAATTTGATTGCAAGGTCATTTTCATCAAACTAGTCCTGGTGTATTCTTTTGAAATGGCTGAGGGTTTCTCTGCAGGTCTTTGTAATAACAGTATTAAGTGTATCCCATTCAGCAATGAGATTCACGTTGTTTGCTGTTGGGTTGTTTATAAGCCCATGTTCGAGCTGCTCTCTGAAAGCATGTGTTACCGCTGGATCCTCCAGATGCTTAGTAGTAAAAGCTCTTCTGGAGGCTTGCTGCCTTCGCCGTTTTGGGGCGACGTGAAGTGAGAGCTTGCCTCTGACAAGTCGATGATGATCAGTGTCACAATGGTCTAAACCACGCATGGCACGGGTGATGAGGACATGTCGGTGATCTATTTCTCTGACAATGATGTAGTCAATGAGATGCCAGTGTTTGGATTGTGGGTGTTGCCATAACCCTTGAACTTGTTGGCCTGCCTAAACAAGGTATTGGTGATAGTGAGGTTGTGAGCAGCACAATTGCTGAGGAGTAGGCCATTGGGATTACACTTGCCAAGTCCATTTCTCCCTATGGTTCCCTGCCAAATGTTAGCATCTCTGCCAACTCTGGTATTGAAGCTGCCAAGAAGCACAACCTTGTCTTCTCTGGGGATAGAGGTTAGCACTCTGTCAAGGTTGACATAAAAGGCCTCCTTGATGTCATCCTCTGCATCCATGTTGGGGCGTATGCACTGATGAAAAAGGCATGACGTGAGTGATTCAGTGGGACTCGAAGCATCATGAGGCACTCGTTGATCCCAATAAGCAGTTCAGTTAGCCTGTGTAGGATGCGTTGATGGATGGCAAAGCCAACTCCATATATGCGGTTTCTCTCCGCAGCAGGCTTGCCCTTCCAGAAGGTGGAGCCAGATCCCCGTTCTGTGAGTTGGCCTTCATATGGGAGCCGGGACTCACTGATGGCTGCTATGTCGATGTTAAACCTAGCCAGCTCTTTTGCCACAAGGGCAGTTCTTCTTTCACGACGCGCATTTGTGCCAGTATCCAGAAAGGTCCTGACATTCCATGCAATGACCAAGAGAGGTTGTATAGTTTGTTTTTGTTTGGATATGTGATTTTGATTGTGTTTTCGACAGCATAAAGATGACCTTACTGGGTGTGGTTGCCCAGTCAGGTTGGGTTTTTAGGCAGGCTATGTTTAGGGCACCTTTTCTAGCCCCCTCCCCATGTGGGGTGAGCAGAGTGGCTCCTTGAAAGGGCTGCTCAGTCGTACAGACAGGATCGGATTACACTGCTGCCGAGATCCCAGTGCATAAATAACCATCTTATCTGTGCCGCCCATGTGCAGAGTTGTGACTAGAGACTCCCAGCAGTCATCACTGCTTGTCCCTGTCGCCACTCGTCCGTCGCCATACTTTTGGGGGGTATAGGTGGATGATGGCTGCGCGTGAGTTGATTTATGTGGTGAGACAGGAGCGCAGGCTGCAACCACTTATCTTGACTTTCATTTTTCCTGATCCAGTGGTGCAAGTGTTGCAACGACTAGGGAGAGGGAGACTTGCAATGGACTGCCGATAGCCCACTTTGTTGGGTTTTGCCTTAGTAGCCTGTCCATCAGGCATTGCCTTCGTCCGCCGGTGTAGTCGATAGGTTTCCATGGTGGTCATCTCTTGCTCCTACACCGCCGTTGGGGTCTTGTTGGAGCTCTGTAAGCATGTCTGCCTGATGCGGGGCTACACCACAGAGTTTTCGTTCGGGGTTTACTCCCGTAGCCTTATGCCTGCCAAGGTTAATCCACAAGACAGAGAGGCAATGGCTGGTAGGCGCCAGGGCGTGTCCACATGCCAGTGGGCCTATGCACCGTCCCTCTGGGGCCCACTGCTACTCTGAGATCCCCTGCTGATCTAACCTGGGCCCATGGGGCATAAAGTTACCGTGTGTTGCCACGAGGAGGCACAGCAGGAGTCTTGATGGTTAGGAGGCTGTGTACTGGCAGGGGAAGAATTATGCAAGTTGTTTCCCTGTTCGCCAAGAGGGCTAGCCAGCGGCGGCAGCTGAAAGCGAGAGGGAGCAAGCAGCGCTTGCACCTTGACACTAACATAGTGCTGCCACACTAGATGCATTTCACCACGCTGTGTAGTGTGTGTACAAACACACACACAACCTTTGTTTTTAATCTTGAATTTTTTATTGAACCATAATGTACCTGAAAATGTAATTGTAAGCAAGTGTGCCAGCAACAGTACAATACAATACAATACAGTGCCTTGTTGTAGCAGCTACAACTTTATCTACTTGCCTACTACAGTAGTTAAGTGAGTGGTATCTAAAAAATTTTCCATTCTTCCCATAAATGTGTTTCTCCATCACACACTCATAACATAATGAGGAGTAACACACTCATCAAGCCCCAAGCACACTTACCAAGGCTCGGTGGTGGGCACAGTTCCGCTAACCGCTAATTAGCGAAGCTAACTTTCTCCTTAGCGGATTAGCGTTTTCGCTAACTTTAGAAACCATTAGCGGACCAATTAGCTTCCGCTAAATTTAGTTCCGCTAACTTTAAGTCCGCTAACAAAATTTATACATGTTTGTTCCTGTCTGTTGTAAGCGTGTGACGCCGCGACGCGTGTCTCCAACAGCCAGTCAGGCACGCTTGGCTGACTGCGTGTTAGTACGTGTAAACGTGACAAGACATGACTAAGACCAACAATAAGTTATATAAAAATGCACTGGTATAATGTGTATGTGGTTGGTATTGCATATTTACATGAATAATGAATAAGGCCGATAGGTTGTATGAGAATGCAAATTAATTATTTGTGAAATTGGGTACAGTGTACACCTTGATAAGTTGATCATCATCTGATCTTGGCATGATGCTATTTGCTACCTATGCTATACAGTACTATAGTTTTTGGATTCGTTTAATACTTTCTGTCTTTTCGTACAGTAAATAAAGATTATAAAGTGTATGTTGAAACTTGAATGTAAACTAATGTTTAATTTCATTTGTTCATTTAATTATTTGTGTACACCTTGATCATCATCTGATCTTGGCATGCTATACCTTTTTGGAAAGCTCTATGTCTAAGCTACAAGACAACATATGAAAATTTCAGCTCTCTAGGTCTGTTTTTAAGGGTTTTAGAGCCAAAAAACAAACAAACCGAAGCTAAATTCATATAATAAAAGTTAGCGGTTAGCGTTAGTTTCCGCTAATATTTTTAGCTGTATAGCGGTTTAGTGTTAGCGAAGTTAACTTTTTAGTTAGTAGATTAGCGAAGCTAACTTTTCGTTTAGCTGTGCCCACCACTGACAAGGCTATAATCACACCCAGGATGGTGAATGTAGCGGCCACACCTCCTGACATTATAAACTCATGCTCGTAACCCATGACTGAAGGTGGCTTGGACCCCAGGACCCCTCCACTAGTGTGATGGACCCCAGGACCCCTCCACTAGTGTGATGGACCCCAGGACCCTTCCACTAGTGTGATGGACCCCAGGACCCAACAGTGGTGGGGCTTGTTTCATGGCTCCTGAGGCTGCGAGCCACTCATAGCAACTCTGGGTTCTAACACTCTCACTATTAACATTGGCATGTGAGGTAAGGAGGACACACTGCAGCTGAAGGTCATTATAACAGGCCTTAGTGGTCATTATAACACCACCAGACCCACAGGCCTTAGTGGTCATTATAACACCACCAGACCCACAGGCCTTAGTGGTCATTATAACACAGTCAGCATAATGTCTCACCTTAACTAGATCATGATTCATATGTTACTCATAACTGTTGTACATTAAACAAGGATGAAAGTCACTATACTCGTCCTCACAGTCCAGGACTTACCTTCTTCTCAACAGGAGGCCAATTATGAGGTAAAACTCTTGCTTCCATCTAATATAATATTTCACTGTAGTATAATTACTGGTAAAGTTCTGTACTGTACCATAGTCAATCAAGGTGATAAAGCTAAGTAAAGTTAATTATTTATGTGATATTTAACATTTACTGAGTGTTAATAACTTCCTTTCAATCTAATATTGAGTTGTACTGTGCAAGCAATAAGTTTATTATAAGAGTAACCTAACTAGATTTATATACATTACAATATTAATTTACGCAGGACTCCCTTACCAATATATGTCAACTGTTAAATATGAAGACTTACATGAGACAAGTAAACCATTCTGGCCACAAAGAGTCAACATAACGTAAATGACGACCTCACCTCCATATAAAACACAATGGCAAAAGATTTTTACAATTTTAGCTTATTTAAAAAATATATAAAATGTTAATAATGAGAACAAAGCAGATGTAGATAAATATAGATGTACCTTGTCATCAAAATGGGGCTTTTTTGTGGGGTTGCCATTGGCTGTACCATTGGTGGAGGACTGTGGGGCTGTGACAGTCTTCATGTGTTGCACCACAATACTCATCTTTATCTTCTGATTCTTGGCCTGGCATATCTTCAGTGCTGGAGAAACACAATATTGTTGTAATAACAATAATAACAACAATAATAATACTGCAATAATAATAATAATAATAATAATAATAATAATAATAATAATAATAATAATAATAATAATAATAATACCCTGTAATACTTATTCAGTAAAATCATCATAAAAATTTATAATTGGTTTGACACGTACAATCGTCCAACGATGTCATGTCAAGTTTTCTAGAAATTTTAAATCAGAAGGTGGTCTCTGGCAACAACCAGACTCCCTTCATTTGTTTTTAATTTTTGGAGGTGTAACACAATTTTATGAAATAGTCACCAAAAAAACTGATAAATGCTAAAATAGTTGTTCATATATATACTATAATAAGAGAAATCATGTACAGGGTTTAAAATGTTATTACTGTATACACATGCAGGCGCTGTACTGTATTTTTTTTAGATTTAACCAACTTATTCGAGCCGCTCCTTTCAGAAAAAATCAAAATTTCCGCTATATCGAACTTCCCGTTATTTTCACTTGATTTAGCCAACTAGTTTCATAAATCAAGTGTGATTCCATTAAAATCCACACCAAATGTGCCACTTGGCACATTGGGTTTGTATACAACCGGTCAGTCTGTGTCCTACTGCCACTGCACGTGTTGTTCACTGCTACCTCTCAGTCTACCTCACAGTCCACCTCACAGTCTACCTCACAGTCTACCTCACAGTCCACCTCACAGTCTACCTCTCAAGTCTACCTCTCAGTCTACCTCACAGTCCACCTCACAGTCCACCTCACAGTCCACCTCACAGTCTACCTCTCAGTCTTCCTCACAGTCTACCTCTCAGTCTACCTATCAGTCTTCCTCACAGTCTACCTCTCAGTCTACCTCACAGTCTACCTCTCAAGTTTACCTCTCAGTCTACCTCAGAGCCCACCTCACAGTCCACCTCACAGTCCACCTCACACTCTTCCTCACAGTCTACCTCTCGGTCTACCTCTCAGTCTTCCTCACAGTCTACCTCACAGGCTCCACTCCTTGGTCTACCTCTCAGTCTTCCCTCAAGGTCCACCTCAGTCTACCCATCAGTCCACCCTCAGTCTACCTCACAGTCTACCCCAGTCTACCTCACAGTCTACACCTCTCAGTCTACCCTCACAGTCTACTCTCTCAGTCTACCTCACAGTCTACCTCCTCAGTCTACCTCTCCAGTCCACCCCACAGTCCACCCCACAGTCCACCTCACAGTCTACCCCACAGTCCACCTTACAGTCCACCCAACAGTCTACCCTCACAGTCCACCTCCCAGTCTACCTCACAGTCCATCTCCTCGGTCTACCTCTCGGTCTTCCTCACAGTCTCCCCCTGAGTCTACCTCAGTCTACCTCACAGTCCACCCTCCCAGTCTACCTCCTCACAGTCTACCTCTCGGCCACCTCTCGGTCTTCCTCACAGTCTACCTCCTCAGTCTTCCTCCTCGGTCCACCTCTGTCTCTCCTCACAGCCTCCTAGTCTATCTCACAGTCTACCTCCCTCATCTCTCTCCTCACAGTCCACCTCCCGGTCTACCTCCTCGGTCTACCTCTCAGTCTACCTCATAGTCTACCTCCCAGTCTCTTCCCACAGTCTACTCCTCTACAGTCCACCTCCCAGTTTACTCCTCACTAGCTCCACCTCTGTCTACCCCCACAGTCCACCCCACAGTCTACTCCCAGTTCCACCTCCTAGTCTCACCTCTCAGTCTTCCCTCACAGCTCTTCCTCTCAGTCTACCCCACAGTCTACCCCAGTAGCCCACCTCCAGTCTACCCCCAGTCCAACTCAGTCTACCTCACAGTCTACCTCCCCAGTCTACCTACAGTCTACCTCCCAGTCTCCACAGTCCACCTCTCGGTCTACCCTCAGTCTTCCCCACAGTCTACCTCCTCAGTCTACCCATCAGTCTTCCTCACAGTCTACCCCTCTCAGTCTACCCATCAGTCCACCTCACAGTCTACCCATCAGTCCACCCCACAGTCCACCCCCACAGTCCACCCTCAGTCTACCCCACAGTCCACCCCAGTCTACCTCCCCAGTCCACTCCCCACAGTCCACCTCTCAGTCCACCCCACAGCCCACTTCTAGTCTACCTCACAGTCTACCCCACAGTCCACTCCTCAGTCCACCCCACAGCTCACCCTCCCCAGCTCACTTCTCAGTCTACCCCCACAGTCCACCCATCAGTCCACCTCACAGTCTACCCATCAGTCCACCTCACAGTCTACTCTCAGTCTACCCTCAGTCTACCTCACAGTCCACCCCACAGTCTACCCCACAGTCCACCCCACAGTCTACCTCACAGTCTACCTCACAGTCTACCTCTCAGTCTACCTCACAGTCTACCCCAGGTCCCTCTCAGTCTACCCCACAGTCCACCCAACAGCTCCACCTCAGTCTACCCCAGTCCACCCTCAGTCACTCCTCTCGGTCTACCCCTTGGTCTACCTCCACAGTCTACCTCTCTCAGTCTACCCTCATAGCTCACCTCTGTCAGTCTACCCCACAGTCTCACTCCCAGTCTTCCTCACAGTCTACCCCACAGCTCCACCTCACTCAGTCATCCCTCAGCGTCCACCTCTCAGTCCACTCTACATTCTACCTCACAGTTCACCTCCTCAGTCTACCCCACAGTCCACCTCTCAGGCTACCCCAGTCTACCTCTAGTCTTCCCCACAGTCTACCTCCGTATACTAACTACAGGTTTAGCCATCATGCTGAAAGTCTCCAAGAGTCATCTTATGACTGCACACACAGCACCAGCAGACACCATCCTCCAAGAGTCATCTTATGACTGCACAGTACACAGCACCAGCAGACACCATCCTCCATGAGTCATCTTATGACTGCACAGTACACACCAGCAGACACCATCCTCCAAGAGTCATCTTATAACTGTACAGTACACAGTACACAGCACCAGCAGACACCATCCTTCAATAGTCATCTTATGACTGCACAGTACACAACACCAGCAGACACCAACCTCCAAGAGTCATCTTATAACTGCACAGTACACAGCACCAGCAGACACCATCCTCCATGAGTCATCTTATGATTGTACAGTACACATCACCAGCAGACACCATCCTCCAAGAGTCATCTTATGACTGTACAGTACACATCACCAGCAGACACCATCCTCCAAGAGTCATCTTATGACTGCACAGTACACAACACCAGCAGACACCATCTCCAAGAGTCATCTTATGACTGTACACAGTACACAGCACCAGCAGACCATCCTCCAAGAGCCATCCTATGACTGCACAGGCATACAGTACACCAGCAGACACCATCCTCCAAGAGTCATCTTATGACTGCACAGTACACAACACCAGCAGACACCATCCTCCAAGAGTCATCTTATGACTGCACAGTACACAACACCAGCAGACACCAACCTCCATGAGTCATCTTATGACTGCAGTACACAGCAACAGCACCAGCAGACACCATCCTCCAAGAGTCATCAGATGACTGCACAGTCCACAACACCAGCAGACACCATCCTCCAAGAGTCATCTTATGACTGCACAATACACAACACCAGCAGACACCATCCTCCACGAGTCATCTATGACTGTACAGTACACAGCACCAGCAGACACCATCCTCCACGAGTCATCTTATGACTGCACAGTCCACAACACCAGCAGACACCATCCTCCAACAGTCATCTTATAACTGTACAGTACACAGTACACAGCACCAGCAGACACCATCCTTCAATAGTCATCTTATGACTGTACAGTACACAGCACCAGCAGACACCATCCTCCATGAGTCATCTTATGACTGTACAGTACACAGCACCAGCACACCATCCTCCAAGAGTCATCTTATGACTGCACAGTACACAACACCAGCAGACACCATCCTCCATGAGTCATCTTATGACTGTACAGTACACAACACCAGCAGACACCATCCTCAAGATTCATCTTATGACTGTACAGTACACAGCACCAGCAGACACCATCCTCCTAGTCTATCAGTACAAACACAGCAGACACCATCCTCCATGAGTCATCTTAGACTGTACAGTCAACACCAGCAACACCATCCTCAAGTCATCTTATGACTGCACAGTACACAACACCAGCAGACACCATCCTCCAAGAGTCATCTTATGACTGTACAGTACACAGTACACATCACCAGCAGACACCATCCTCCATGAGTCATCTTATGACTGCACAGTACACAACACCAGCAGACACCATCCTCCAAGAGTCATCTTAAGAGTGTACTGAACTGTACTGAGCTTGAGCTGAGCTGAGCTGAGCTGAGCTGAGCTGAACTGAACTATAATTTGTTATGCTTGTACTGTATCAGAAAGGGAACATCATTGACCTTAGGTTCATGTCAATGTTATGTGTTACAACACAAACTTTTACCATGGCAATATTTGGTCAAATTCAGCACAGTTTCCACCAAAAGTATATCATGGTGACCAAACCTACAGAGTTTGGTGCATATCTGCAAATGCAATCTTCAATTTTTTGGAGACACACGGAGATGACAACAATATACTCTGACCTGTAGTTGTGGGCAAGTTACAGTAATGACACCCGGTTTGCTTGCCGGGAACATACTATGGTGAAATATGTAAAAAAAAATCACTGTAGTCAGATTTTGTTCTGATTTTTCATTAAATGTGTACAGAAACAAAGTAATTTATCAAGTGTACCATCATCAGCAATCTCCTTGAGGGCGATGAGCTTGGCACCCCTCCATACAGTCCAGCAGTGATGAGAACAGAGGCCTCAGCGTCCAACATATAGCTCTGACAAGCTGTCTGCAGAGTATCCACCAAACTGAAAATATTAAAAAGGAGTTAGTTCATTCATTACTGTACTCACCGGCTGCTGCCAATTCCTAATAGAGTAGAGTAGAGTAGAGTAGAGTAGAGTAGAGTGATAGGAAGGATGAGACTGTAATCCATTTCTTCCCCTCAGTCATCAAATGAGAGAGACTTCAGACATCACTTACCTGCGATGTCAATAACTTGTGACCGATGAGATTCTTAACCAAGCAATGGTGTGGTGATGCATATCTTGGGTGTGTCTAGTGAGGGAGTATTACTCTAGTGAGGGAGTATTACTCTAGTGAGGGAGTACAGTATTACTCTAGTGAGAACAGAGATATTGGAACATATATTTACTTTGGTATACAGTTAAGTGTTTATTTCAGCTTAGTTAATATGATGTTGGGTCACCAAATGTAGCAAGATCAGTATATACCACAGAAACACCAACCATCCCGGGCCATCACATATTGCATGTAGCATTTCGGAAGTCATCGGGCCCATCTTGGCAGATACATTTTTTGAGATCCTGTACGAACAGTCAACAAAAATATTATTGCACCGCTTTCCATACCTTTCATTCTGGAACACAAGCTGAAATGTTTCGATAACCAGGGTATACTGAAGTGTTGGTATGCCTGTTCTACTTACCAGACACTTCCTTACGACAGAGATACCAGTCGTCTCATGAAGTGATTCATTTACATGTATTAGAATAATATTGACACCTTTGAGAACATTTCGCACAGTGATTGGGGCGAGATCATGACATTTCATACCTATTGTTTAATTTGCTGTCAGATATTCCAAGCACCTCTTAAGGTGCATTAACATATTGGAAACATTGTTGTTAACAATGCTGCAGACATATTAGGCAAAGCTGTTAGCTTTGCAGCAACAAACCCAGACATGACCACAGCAAGGTTTGTACATATTAATGCTGGCAAACCTGTGTGTTTGAAAGCCTTATCCACACCACTACTGACACTGCTACCAACCTGCTGATTACCATTGTTAAAATATGCGGGACACTAGCGTCGCTAAGATGCCAGTCACCTTGTTGACACTGTTGTTAGCACGGTTGTCAGCGCGTGTGGACGCACCTTCACACACCATACTAAACATGTTTTGTATAATACTTAAAGTAGAGGAATGATGGATATGAGTATTTTTGTCTTTCTTTTTTTAATGGTAACAGCCCACCCTGACACAGGTCATCGACCCACAATGAAAATATAAATAAATAAATTGAAAGAGAGAAAGAGTACAGGTATGTTAATCTTCACTATGAAGGTGCCGAAAAATACAGAAGAAGGCAGAGCATTCCATAGTTTGGCTGTGTGTGGAAAGAAGGATTCACTATAACGGGTTATTCTAGTGCGACCGACATCCACACAGAAACTGTGGTCACTGCTGGCAAGACAAGTGTTACGAGCCCACAGCCTTGCTGGCGGTACACAGGATGCCAAATCCACCGAACATTGCCCGTTAAAGTACCTGTAAAAGAGAGAGAGTGAAGCATTCCAAACCACAGATAAAACGGACATAATTAGTGAGCATAAACACCAAAACATGATAACCTAAATTAATCGTCAGCGTCTTTCATCTTATCTCTATCTCCAACACCTAAGAACTAAGGGTTACATCTGTGACCCACACCTATGAATGATATGTCAATGCACCACATTAATGCATGGTGTACAGGTAGTTCTGCTATTAGCGATAATTGTGTTTTTGTAAATATCGTGTTATAGAAAATCCGTAATAGAAATAACAGGGCTTATGGAGAAAATAGGTTAGGTGCAGATTAATCGAAAAAATTTAGTAGTTAGCTAACACAAAGGATAGCACAGTTAAATAAATGTTACATTCATATCTAATAATGAAATCATACAGTAAATTTAACACTTTACCTTGAAAAAATATGAATGTAACTTGATGGGGAGAAGGTGATTTTGAGTTGATAACATCAGCTTCTCTTCAAGTGTTATATCCTTTCTTTTACGATAATCACCGAATTCTATCATCAGAATGCTTTTGAGATATTCTTCTTACCATATTCACAGTTAATACCACAAATTGGAAAATAGTAAGCAAAATCGTTATAGCAAACAAGCGATCGCTTATACAAATATTGTTCGAATTCATAAATCGTTAGAGCAAATTCGCGTATCAAAACACGCTATAGCAGAACTCACTGTATGTAATAATTATGATCCCCATTTGCCTGTACAGTAAACCCTTGCCATTCGCGGGTTTCATTTATTTCGCAGTAAGCAGGTGGTGCTATGGTGGCTAGCTCGCAAGTCTTTTCCTCATGCACGCATCACCCCACGCAGCACATTACATTGTACTGTCAAAACTTTAGGTGGTGTGAAATGGCCCCTAAAAGACAGCCTAGTGTTAATGTTAGTGATGCTAGTGGAGTGAAATGTAAGAGGCAGAAGTCAGTGATGACCCTGACAAAGAAAATCTAATTATTAGAAAAGTTAAAAGAGGGGATGACTGCTGCCGCGGCTGGTCAGTTGTTTGATATAGGTACACAGTAGTGCACTAAGGTTGTATCAGTTGCTATTCACGGTTCTGCCAATTTGTGCCATTTCTTGGAACCTAACCCCCATGAATAACAAGGGTCTACTGTATTATATCTAACCAGAACAGCTTTTATGAAATCTTCCAAATTACTTAGGAAATTTAGAGGCTAAAAAAAAAATTGTGAACTATACATGTGATTATTTACGTATGTATTTAATATTCTGTCTACACCCCGAGCAGCAATGACTGATTGAGTCTATGTGACACTGGCATAACAATCCACCTTGCTACCGTTTTTCTGTGCACACCTGTGTCACCTCACAGTTGCCGACACCATCATTGTGGAGAGCGATGATGGCACAACGAGTTTCCTTGCCTACTGTCCTACGTGCATTTTCCAAATAAATGGTTGCCGAAGACAAAACTCGGCGATTCAACTCGTCTATCACATCATGCATAATAAATGACTCGATTCCATGAACCGACGTCCTCATGCATTTATCAAGATAAGTAAAGGAGGTTATGCAGGGATATCCATTATGTGAGGACAGAGCTTTGAAATATTAAACCATCTAACTGTGGAGGAGAAATACTGTACCACAAACAGTGTTCACAGATTAGTTGTGAGTCTTTCTTTAATTGTTGGTTTTCTTCAACACACTGAAGATGGTAGTCCAGAGCAACACTGGGACCAACGACAACGCACAAGGACCAGCAAGAAACACTGGGACCAACAACAACACTGGGACCAGCAACAACACTGGGACCAACAACAACACTGGGACCAGCAACAACACTGGGACCAACAACAACACTGGGACCAACAACAACACTGGGACCAACAACAACACTGGGACCAACAACAACACTGGGACCAGCAACAACACTGGGACCAGCAACAACACTGGGACCAGCAACACTGGGACCAGCAACACTGAGACCAACAACAACACCAGGACCAGCAACAACACTGAGACCAACAACAACACTGAGACCAACAACAACACTGAGACCAACAACAACACTGGGACCAACAACAACACTGAGGACCAGCAACAACACGGGACCCAGCAACAGCACAAGGACCAGCAACACTGGGACCAACAACACTTTGGACCAACAACAACACTGGGACCAGCAGCAACACTGGACCAACAACAACACTGAGACCAACAACAGCACTGGGACCAACAACAACACTGAGACCAACAACAACACTGGGACCAACAACAACACAGGACCAGCAACACAACACTGGGACAGCAGCAACACTGAGGACCAACAACACTGGGACCAACAACAGCACTGGGACCAGCAACAACACTGGGACCAGCAGCAACACTGGGACCAACAAGCAACACTGGGACCAACAACAACACTGGGACCAACAACACTGGGACCAGCAACAACACTGGGATAACAACAACACTGGGACCAACAACCAACACTGAGGAGACCAACAAAAAACAACAACACTGGGACCAGCAACAACACTGGGACCAACAACACTGGGACCAACAACAACCCAACACTGGGACCAACAACAACACTGAGGACCAACAACAACACTGGGACCAACAACAACAACACACAAGGACCAACAACAACACTGAGACCAACAACAACACTGGGACCAACAACAACACTGAGACCAACAACACTGAGACCAAAGCAACAACACTGAGGACCAACAACAACACTGAGACCAACAACAACACTGAGACCAGCAACAACACTGGGACCAACAACAACACTGGGACCACAACAACAACTACTGGGACCAACAACAACACTGGGGACCAGCAACAACACTGGGACCAACAGCAACACAGGACCAAACAACAACACTGGGACCAACAACAACACTGGGACCAACAACAACACTGAGGACCAACAACAACACTGGGACCAGCAACAACACTGAGGACCAACAACAACACTGGGACCAACAACAACACTGGGACCAACAACACTGGGACCAACAACAACACTGGACCAACAACAACACTAGGACCAACAACAATACTAGGACCAGCAACAACACTGGGACCAACAACAACACCAAGGACCAACAACAACACTGGGACCAACAACACTGGGACCAACAACAACACTGAGACCAGCAACAACAACAGGACCAACAACAACACACAGGACAAAACAACAGCACACAGGACCAACAACACTGAGGACCAGCAACAACACTGAGGACCAACAACAACACTGGGACCAACAACAACACACAGGAACCAACAACAACACTGAGACCAGCAACAACACTGAGACCAACAACACTGGGACCAACAACAACACTGGGACCAACAACAACACTGGGACCAGCAACAACACTGGGACCAGCAAGCAACACTGGGACCAACAACAACACTGAGACCAACAACAACACTGGGACCAACAACAACACTGGGACCAACAACAACAGGACCAACAACAACACTGGGACCAACAACTTTAAGG